TTAAATCCACCGAACAAGCATCCATAGAACCATGTAACATAATAGGAATGATTCTAGTTTTGATCTTCCATCCGAACGCTTCAACGAGGGATCATAAGGGTACTTGTTAAGACGCAGGTTTGATTTGCAAACGTACTATAACAGACCCATGCTAATTTGTGCGGTAAAATAACGTGTATAGAGAAATAACTGATGGTTTTATTCAAATGATTTTCTAACATTTGTTTAAAACATTGCCAATAATCTGAAGTATTTTGTTAAATAATAGAGTGAATGAATTATTCTTACTTATTAAACTTTTTGTTCCCTACATTTAATTTTTAAACATCATGGAAAATTTGCAAACAGTTCTGTTAAACAATCTCGATATTTTTCTATGGCTCTATGGAATTAAGTCGACCCGTTAGGTCTTCAAGAACTCCAATATTATCACTGATTCCTCGAAATGGCCAACCGGTATTATTTTATGCTCATTACGTCCTTCTGATGAGTAAGTTTGGTACCTTACATCATCGTAATATTATCAACAACAGATTAAGCAGGTCAGTCAATGTTCAAGTGAAAGTAAAGGGTCAGCATTAATCAGCATTTATGATACCTTAAGCGCCCTACAACCTAGCGTTGGTACATTCTTTCGACTCCTGATTACCTTTGTCCATATTAATTTTGTTGATTCTGATGACGTTATTTAACAAGTATCTAAGTTATGTATATCCCCACCCTGATAAAGTTTATTTTAGCAGTGATCAATAGTGATAAAACGAGGAAGATATATCAATCTGATGCAATCTGTCTCAGAGAGAGAGAGAGAGAGAGAGAGAGAGAGAGAGAGAGAGAGAGAGAGAGAGAGAGAGAGAGAGAGAGAGAGAGAGAGAGAGATGTGTGGGTTAGTTAGCATCCAAAATTATCGTTTTTTTATTTCCATTGTTTTGATTAGGAATATTCTAATACTAATAATTATTAATATATGTCTACAGTTTTCATTGTTTGATAAGCTTCGTTGTCTTTTTTTGGAGGGATCCGTTCCTTTTAATATCGTAAGAACTTGCATGCAGACACCATCTGCTCAAGTAGTCAATTGAAATACGGATAAACATTTAAAAAAAACATGCAGATTTCCAGATCAATGATATTTATATCTACTTTCTTTGGTCAGTAAAGGGGAAATGACTTCCCGCCGCCAGACAATGTAACTTGTGTTAACATACTAAAAGTTGGTCTTAATGACCACAATCATACTTTTTTGACAAGGACGGTTAAATGCAAGAGAAATAAGAAAATTACACACAAGACTATAACTTACAGATCATTCAAAACTTTTAATGAAGAACAAATTCTCAAAGACCTATATAAAGCTCCATGGAAGATGATCCAAAAGTTGGATGACGTAGATGAAGCTCTGAGGGTGTGGACGGACTTATTTATGGATGTAGTCTCTAAGCATGCACCACTGAAAGTACATCGAGTAAAGAATGAAATCCAACCTAATTGGCATACAACTGAAATCCTTGATGCTCTGAAAGCAAGAGACCAATTTAAGGCTATGGGAAACCATACACAATATAAACTACGGAGAAACAAAATAACAAATATGATCAATAAAGCTAAACAAAATTATTATCAATCTTTGCTTGAAAACAAAAAGAGCGAAAAAAACTGCCTTTGGAAAGTCTTCAATGAACTCACTGGAGGAACACACAAAGATCAGGTAAATAAAATCCACTCACTTCTGGTAAATGACACCATAGTCACTGATGACAATGACATTGCAAATGTTTTCAATGATTTTATCACCAACATTACCACAAAGTTAAAAGAACCAGTGATTGAAAACAACTTTATTGAACTGAAAAAGTTCTGCAGCAGCAAAATCTCTAAGGAGGTATGTTTCTCCATCCAACCAGTCTAAACAAACTTTGTTAAGACATATCTCAGTGAACTTGATACTAAGAAAGCTACAGGACTTAATCAAATTGGTCCACGACTCATTAAATCTTCTGCTTCTGCTATTGTAGATAGCTTAACATTCATAATCAATTTAAGTATTGCATCCTCATCTGTTCCCAAAATATGGAAAACTGCAAAAGTAACTCCTATTCACAAATCTTGCCCTAAGGATGATGCTGATAACTACCGGCCAATCTTAATACTACCAAACTTGTCAAAATGGATTGAAAAGCATGTCTATGATTCATTCATATCATATTTAACCAAACACTTTCTGTTATACCCTAATCAATCTGGCTTTACACGGAAACACTCATGTGAGACTGCCTTGATCTCCCTAACTGATAAATGGCTTCAAGCACTTGATCAAGGTAGAATAATAGGTTCTGTATTTGCAGATTTCAGGAAAGCTTTTGACATGGTAGATCGTGAAATCCTTTTGAAGAAACTGAAAATCTACCAATGTGATGAAGGCAAAGTTAGATGGTTTACTTCATACTTAAGTGAGAGAACACAACATGTTTATATTAATAATGTTCTGTCTGAACCTGAAACAATTAGATGTGGAGTACCACAAGGCTCAATTCTGGGTCCATTACTGTTTATTTTATTTATTAATGATCTACCACTTATACTAAAAGACTCAGTATTATCTACAGATCTATATGCAGATGACATAACATTGTCAGACATCCAAAACACAAAACAAGAACTCGAAATTTCTTTACAGAATGCCCTAAACAAACTAGAATACTGGTGCACATGCAATGGCATGGAGGTTAATACTGGTAAAACCAAAATATTACTTATCTCAACACGTAAAAAAAAACTTGATAGCGATAAACTATGTCTGACATGGAAGGATAAAAGGTTGCAAATGGTCTGTCATATTGGTCTACTTGGTGTTTTGGTAGATAATAACCTATCATGGACTGAACATATTAAACATATCAGTAAAAAAGTCAATTCAAGTTTATGGATTCTCAGTAGGATAAGACACTTTCTCCCGGACAAGCACAGAAAACTGTTTTATAACAGTTACATACAACCCTAATTAGACTACTATAATACAGTATGGGGTAATTCAAAGGATAAAAGCTTAGCAAAGCTGGAACATCTCCAAAAAGAACTTTTGAGTTAATATCAATCCAAAAAGAACACAAGGAAAATTTAGCTGGTAAGTTAAAAATACCACCTATTAAAGTCCGAATCTGTTTAAGAAAAGCCAAAATAATGTACAGGATAGTCAATAATAATGCTCCTGAATATATACAATCTCTATTCAAGTAGAGGCTACCTGGAAATACTCCCCACCTGCGATCAATGTCTACCAAACATTACAAAATTACCAAACCAAATAAAGAATTATTTTTTTTTTAAAAAAAAGTGTCCAATGCTCTGGAACTTTGCTCTGGAATATTATTCCAGTTGAGATTAAAAATGCCCACTTTATTTCCTCTTTCCAAACCCAGTATATACAATGGCTTCACAGATGCAGTAAAAATAAATAAATTTCTTTGAATGAGAGCTATAAGGTAGATTAGTTCTTAGCTAATTGAGTTACCCTCTTTAAATAAAGTCATAATAACGTGGTTGTTCAATAGAATATATGGTGAGGTTGGTATCGAAACAAGAAAATCCAAGTCAATGGGGATTATTTTAAATCACGAGGATTCATCACACTCAGTATAACCCAACATTTTCAATTTAATTACAATAACGCTGTACTTTTTCAATACTGTTGCTGATTAAACGCATTCAGTTCCAATTAGTTACTAATATTGCCTCTCTCTCTCTCTCTCTCTCTCTCTCTCTCTCTCTCTCTCTCTCTCTCTCTCTCTCTCTCTCTCTCTCTCTCTCTCTCACACACACACACACACACACACTATATATATATATATATATATATATATATATATATATATATATATATATATATATATATATATATATATATATATGTATGTATGTATGTATGTATGTATGTATGTATGTGTGTGTGAGTTATCAAGATAGGTTCAAATCCATATATATTCTCACCCTTGAGACAGAGAAATCTTGCTGATTTGCTAAACTTACTTTTCTTGTCTAAGATTGTTTGTCTCAGTTGGCCCTTGGTGTCCACGCGCTTGGAACTACATTTCAAGGAGGATGAAATGTTTGTTTTTTTGTCATCTGCTATGATTAATATAGTTGTTTTAAAATCAAATAATCAAACAACAACAGATATGTAAAAGAGAACTTTGCTGATAAAGCGTTTTAAGGTTTCTCAAAATTTTATAAAGCACCATGCAAAACATTTTGAGACAGACAGACACACGCACACGAAGACGAGCCATTTGGTAGAGGTGATAAGTAAAAGTGATATCGTGTGTAAACCGCTTGAATCCTCTCTGTTGGGCCCTAACACGTCATCATATATTAAGTATTGATTGTCATTTTTATATGACATCCATCGATAAAATGTTATAATATAGGTATAATAGTTTTTTATATTTCTCTTTTCTTATTCGTAAAACGTTTATCTTTAGGGTCGACCTCTCAACCTACTGCCCTCGTTAACATATTGGTATTAATGCGCGGTGTTTACAAACAATATCACGTTGCTTCAGACATTCAAAGTGCAATACTTCCAACAAGAAACAATTATATCATATTTTTCTTTTTTTTTGTTTAGTTGTTATTTTCTACGAATATATATATATATATATATATATATATATATATATATATATATATATATATATATATATATATATATATATATATATATATATAGTATTATTTATTATATATTTTAACTTTTTAACTTGATAAAATATTGAAGACTACATTATTTTTCAAAATTTCACATGTTTTAAAGCTTGTAAGAATTGGTTATGTTTTTTTAAATTATGTTAATTAAAGGTGTGAAATTTGAATTACGTCACCTTGGAAGAATATTGACGAATAGTTGAGTTTTATTGAAATTTATAAAATAAACCTAACATATAAGAAAGTAATAAAACTAATCTCATATTCAAAAACAAAAGGAATGATTTCTTCATTTAACCGCTCCGTTGGCTTAGTGGTTAGAGGGTCTGCCTCAAATGCGGGAGGTCGTGAGTTCTAATTTTATAATTTTTAACGTAGCTTTAACAATTTTTCAGTCATTTTTATGTTTATAATTTTTAACATAGCTTTAACAATTGATCAGTCATATCGCTACGATGTCTGCAGTGTGCAGTTTATAGTGATGCCTAGCGCTGAAGCATCATACTGCAGGCATGTAGCATGATGTCCCACCCAGTCACATTATCCTGACACCAGGCCGACCAGTCCTAACAAAAACCTCTTAATGCTGAGCGTCAAGCGAGGCAGCTGTTAGTACCATTTTTGTAAGTCTTTGGTATGACTTGACCGGTTGATCGAACCCACGATGTACATTTATATATGCGCAAATTATATCCCGGATATTTTATTGTAGAAGTAGTAGTTATAGGTTATCTTTTGACTATATGACTTACACATCATTCGTTTATACCGTTACATTAGAAAAACAAAAGTGAAAGGAGGAACAATTAAATCATGAAACACTATACTTTATACAAACATAAAAGGAAGAAAAACAAATAATCAACTTGAAAGTAAATACAATTCAGTGCACGAGACGCACAAATAAACCAAGATGGCACAAACAGTTGACCGAACTGGAAAAATATTTATACACAGAAAGAATTGATACATCACAAGGCTCTTACCTGAAGTGTACATATAGCAAAGGAACGCAAGAGATAGATACAACAAGGATACCAGTAGATAAGACACCTACAATAAGTGGATTGATGGCGGCTTTCCGCATAAGCAATACAGATTTTATAGAGATAACTGACAGTATCAGTACAAATAGAAAAAGATTTATAATAAGACCCAAGGGAACTGAACCAGTTATGTCATATTGAGAAATGGAAATAGTAGGGGGACAAGCATTATCAAAAAATCAGAACCGTTCCTGAGGAAAATCAAAAAGAGGACAGGAGAACTGCATATAGTGACCATGCCCATGGAAATTCCATTAGAAGCAACGGTGGAAAAATTCCAAAAGACGTTTAAAACCAATGCGAGCTTAGACACTATCCCGGGATACAAAATAAAAAGTGGGAACAGAATACTGTAAATTGAAAGAGAGAAGCTATATACCATCAAAAAATAATTTTCTTTTTACACGGGTTCTTAGCAAAAACATGGTACAAAGGCTTATCTTTAAGGAATTCTGATCGTGTCGGCGACCATGAGTTTCTCTTCTGAGCAAAGCGAGCCGCAACTGATGGAACTGTAAAACAATTATTTAGTAATTTCGTAACTAAATAACTTCGTTACCTACTTCAACATCATCAGAATTATATTGACGCCAAAGACGTTGTGCAAGATTCTTCATTTTTTTCATGGTGAGATTCTCTGCGGTAAATCTCTACGTTAGGTTTTACAAGTTGATCGTAATATGTTCAACGAAATTGTGTGTGGTATATCGACATGGCGGATTATTGAATACCCGATATGATTATCGTGGCGTTATATCCGTGATATGGTTGCATGTTATGCTGGGAGTTTTCTTGGATACTGAGACCGTTGTAAATACTTTGAGCGATTTGGTCACCACACACACGAAATGACAAGAGATGCGATAAATGGAACACTGCCCGATTTTGATTTAACTGGATTCACTTGTGTAAAATCATTTAGGTTTTGTAACAATCTTCATCCGATCGTTTACACGTAGTTTTGTAGACATTTCTCAGAAAAAAAGATTGGGTTCAACATTGCTTTTGCGATACATGACTAATGCGGAAATTTTGATATCGTTAACTGTAAGTGAAGCTGCTAAATCATAACATGCTCAAAAACAAGTCTGGTTACCTCAACAAAAGAAATATTCACCGACCGATTCATGTGAATATTGCAATAAAATTGATTATGAAAAAAAAAATTACAAAAGATCTCCGTAGAAAAATAATCGATAAATTTACTCAAGGTGGTTTGCCTGATCATAAACGACATTTGCAAGATTAATTATGGATAATACTGAGTTGGATTTTATAATCACTGATTTGACAAAGAAAAGAACATTTATAAGAAAAAATAATGCTTTTATGTCGGGTGGAACGAACTCGGTATAATCGTGAATTATATTGATGGTGAGTCACCGCAATTTACTCATTGACGATCTTCTATGCTCGCTTACGTTTCTATACATTTATTATCGATGATAAATATATTTACTTGCTACGCTGTCAAAGTTGCTACGGATTCGTGTTATATAAATAAAAAATATTTAGATTTAGTAAAACCTTTATTCGGTAGCGGCGAATGGGCATCATGGAGAATGAAACAAAGTATAATTGATTGTTCTGAAACAGAAGATATTGATATCAAAGAAATATATAACGACAAATCAAACACCAGTACCAACATCACCATCCGTATTTGATCCCGTAACCAGACGTAAAAACATTTATTTCAGAAAATCTGGAGAATATGGTAAAACAACACTTGCCATTTGAATTATTTCGGCGGAGTTCTTCAAACTCCGTAGACATGATTGTGTTGACACCCACGCATAGACTAACGAGAGAAAAAAACAACGTGGAGTAAAATCTCAAACTTATAGTTTCTTTAGATGGTGGTAAGATTTATGGACACCTGAGTGAATCGGTGAGAAATATATTCCTAAAATCATCATCTGGGATGAGATTTGTACGGTATCGCTGGAAACACTAAAACATTTCTCGGTTGAATGCTGAAAAACTTTTTGCAATAATTATGTGCAGCTATCATGGTCAACCACCGCCTTTCGTTGTGAAATCTCCGCACGAGTGGTTAAAATAGTTTGTTGAATATTATGAGGAAATAACCGATGATCATAGAGCTATTGATGAGCCCCTAAAAGAATTTTAAAGATTAATCAGACTAAAGCCAGATAAAATACAATGTGAGATAATGCGTGAAATAATTCCAGAAACTCCTGTAAATGATTTTTGGAAGTTATGGAGACCAAATGATCTAAGTTGCGAGTAGAAAGATAGTTCACGATGAATTACAAGAGAAATTATATATATATATATATATATATATATATATATATATATATATATATATATATATATATATATATATATATATATATATATATATATATATTTCTGTTACACAAGGAAGGATTTCAAAAGTAACCTTTTGCCGCTATGTAATCGCCCAGGAGATACTCGACCACAAAATATTGAAGTTGAGATTCCGAGACAAAAATCAAAATCTTATATTAAATGATATTGTTTTGGCTGATGCTGATGTTGCTGCGAGCGCGCTGAGTATGAATAACTCACCGTGGAAATTAGGATATGCCATAACAATCCACTCGTCACAAGGACTAAATATTACTGATACAAATATCTGGATTTTCGATGACAGAATCGAGTGGTCAAATTTAGTCAACATCGCAGTATCTAAAGTAAGTAGAAAATCTCAACTACACAGAGTAGTCATAGAAAATAATAATCAAACCGAAGTTGTTGTTGGCTTAATAAGAAGAAACCTATTTGGTTACAAACAATGTAATAAAAGATAATCATAATTCTGATACCGATGTTGATTTTATTATGACGCTAAAACAAAAATATAATAATCGTAGTGTAATTTGCAACTGAGACATGCTAGGGGAATATTCGAGGAATAATTTAAGATAGTTCACTGTGGACAGAATTAATAGTAATCTTGGTCATACAGGTGATGATGTGATACTGACCGGTCTTGAATGCAATCGACGTCGAGGCTCTGGTCGCCCTGGCACTAGTTTACAAAAGTGAACGCGGTGGTAATTGAAGTCTTCAGGAATTACTTGTAATTGTTCGCGTACAAATCCACGTTGATGAGCAGTTGAATCTAGTCTGTAGATGCGTGTCTGCCAGTGAATATAACCACGCTGGAAATTGTATGTGTGGTCACCCTCCAGATAGAACCTGTTGCTATTTTTGTACCCCCTTCCTGTTCACCAGGTTCATATAAAAACCTTACAGTTACATTACATAATACTGGTTGAGGGGAAGATTCATGACATTGTATTGGTATATAAATTTTTGTGATTGCATTAGAAGGTTTCATGGACGTTGCACGAGTAATTTAATTATTTAAAGCAGCTGTCACACTTGGTAATCTTTTAACTCATTCGCGAGATCTTGTATCTGTATAAATTATTTCCTTTGCATACTGGTATCCAAATAACCGCTCAGCGAGCGTTCGTTTAAATCTTTCGACTATTGCCTGATCACAATGAATGGCAATGTGTCCTCGTCTGATTGTGACATTATGTTTTTTTATCAGCGATGATACTTCACTAAGAAATTCCTTACATGTAGTAGTTGTGGCCATTTTAATTGTCCGCGTTAATAAATTCCTTCAAACGCAGATGCATTTTCGGATTTTGTTTTTGTTGACAGTGGTTCTGCTTCTTTATACCTACTTGCATCATCAACGACAATTAGCGCGTATTTGTATGTGTGATTTTCGTCCAAGTGTTTTAATAGTATCATCAGGTAAAAACAAAATATCTGCTTGATAATCGTCATTGGGATCATTGACATCAAAATGTGCATACTAAGTTTGTTAGGTGGTGGCAGGTAGATTTGACATATTGCTTGTCGTGCTAACTGCACTGCAGCAACAGCACGTGAGACTTGTGCAGCTTCAAGAAGTTTACTAATAGCTGTTGCTCTTCCAACATCCTCTTGGGAAATAATAAATGGACTCCATTATAACAATTACATAATTAATTGCCAGGTATTATAACTCCCGCCCCTAACATAATTTTGCCATTCATACCAGATTTTACCAGAAAATCTACTAATTTTTCTCGAAGTGATTTAGCTTTTATATTATTTATTGCATGAATTAATTTTATATCGATATGTCGCTGTTAAAAATCTTTATCTCGATAAGCAATGAACATAACATGCTTGATCAATTCCATTTAAGTGATATTCACCGGGCCGAGGTTGACTTTGATAGTCAAGACGAATATCTAAACGAGTTGCTTGCCAACAATAATTGGAAGTGTTTTTTTTCCCGGGATATTTAGCCCATGGTAATCCTGGTAATTTTTCCA